GTATGACAAGGAGAATCTATATAAGTCTCAAGAAGAAAACCCGGATATTAATTTAAGATAGGGAGATATTGACCAAATGCATTAATAAAACGTTGTAGCACCTCCAGACAATCGCTTCAGGTTTTATTTTTTTGCAATCGTGGACCTTGTAGTTTCAAGTACTTCTGATTTGCTCATAATTCTCAACCTTTTATTTTGGTCAAATACTTAATATAATATAATATAATAATTGAAAGGATAGATTTTTCATAGTTTATTTATTTGGTAGATTCCTTTCAAAAATTTCACTTGATAATTACATAAACCATATATCCAGACCATTAAATAGAACCTCAAAACTAGTCAATTGATCTTGAAAATCCAAGTGATGTTAAGTGGTTTCAATTAATCTTGGGCATGGAAGTAAAAAAAAAAAAAGTGGATGTAAAGTGCAAAATCTTATATTTTGTATTATTATTTTATATGTATTTGTATTGTACATATTTATATTTGTACTTCTTTTAGACTGAACCTAAGGGTTATTCGGCAAAATGGTTGGTTTTGTTTTTAAAAACAAAAAAGCAAAAGCAACAATGGTTGATATTATTTTTACTCATGTGGTGGTTGTTTTCTTTTTCTCAAAAAAAAAAAAAAACATATTGTCAAACACCCCTAAATAACATTCTCCACCGATGTTTTTAACCTGTCGTTGACCCTGACAGTCGAACCGCCCAAACTGTCACCCAGCTACATTTCCGGTTTTGGTTTCATTAAAATTCATCTTTTTAATGAAAAATCGTTGATCAAGTCAACAAATCATCAACCTAGATGACTTGGTTGGCCGGTGACGATTAGGTTTACTGACCCTTTGCCCAACCCAACCCTCCTTTATTTTCATTCTCCTTTTACTTTCTTTTTTCATTTTAGGGTTTCACTGAGAAGAAACAAAGGAGGAATTTTTGTCTTTCAGAAGAAGAGAACAGAGATCCCACCATCTTTGAGTGAGAGATTTAGTGCCGGCAACTGCAGTGGTTATCTCTGGCAACTTGCAATCAGATATGGAGTTTTGGAGGGCTTTGCTGAGAAGAAATGGAAGAGGAGTTTCTATCTTTTAGAAGAAGAGAACCCCACCATCATTGAATGAGAGATTTAGCGTCGAAAACTACAGTGATTATCTTCGGCGACCTGCAATTGGATCTGGAGTTTTGCATGATTTACATTCAATGTTTTAGCCTTTTCGTTGGGCAAGTTTTAACTTATAATTTCATTTTTCATTTTTTTTTATTTTTAATACTCAGAACTCTCAGGCTCTAATTCTAATATGCTGCGTTTTACATTCAAAACTATAGCCTTTCATTCTAAGCTATATTTTTTTTTTCCAAATTTTCTATTATCCTCTTATTGATTTAATCATTTAACGGCTGCAAACCTACAAGTCGACAATCCTTTTGGCTTTGTTCACTTTTCGGGAAGTTACTTATTCAGGTAAGTGCATTTACCCATATTCTTTTATTTCTCAAATAAATAAGAAAATAATTGTTTTAGCCATAAAAAATTATTATTAAAATTTAAAAAGGGTATTTTTATCCCATCAAAGTGTTGAAAATTTTCCCCCAAATGGGAAAATTACTTACTCACCTTGGGAAAATAAATTTTTTTGTATACCATACATAAATCTGGAAAAAAAAGAATATGAATATTTTGGTCAATGAAAACCAAAATTCCATTAACCAACTTCCCCTTTCAAAACTCAAAAAAACAACAGGCCCTTATAAATATCTAGTGACATTTGAAAGGTATGACACTTGAAAGAACATTGATCAATGGAAGCCTACATGAATTTTGATGAAAATAAGTTGATTTATTACCACTTTTATGATACGAGTTGATTGATTATATGTTTTTACTTGTGTCATAGTTTATTGGCTATATAACATTTTATTATTATTAAGCTGACCTAATTATTTTAGCATTAATTAATCTGACCTAATGAAAAATAATAAATAATAAGTATGAATGTTAACAAAACGGGCATTCTTTACCCTTCTATACATAAAATATAAAAAAAATTACAAGAATACCATGAAAAGTTATAAAGATAATCATGGAGTACCATTGTCTTACTGCAATATATATTGGACATATTTACTAACTTACACATATCATCATATACTTATAGGTGATGTTTGATATAGTTTATGATTATTCAGTAAATGTTTATTGATGGTGCCACATAAGCGTAATTTGAACATTTTCTCTTTTTTGTTCTTTTGCATACATTGAAAATATAAAAAGTGAACTTTGGTTTATGTTATATCAATCATTTGTAAAAATTATTTTTTAAAGCTTCTATAAACGGTCAGAAATGGTGCCTAACGATGTCCAGTTGTCATAAATGATTGTAATTAATGCATTTTTCGATTTTACTAGCATATAAAATACAAACCTTTTTTCAATAAACATAAACGGTACGGAATTTGATTACGTTTATTGAAAAAACGGTACCACCTCAGCGCCATATCAACATTTGGCGGAATAAATGTTTATTGGTTTTGAAACTATTGTTTGATACGAAAGTTTATTGAAAAAATACTCGTAAACGTTTTTTTCATCAGTTTTCGCGAAAGGAGCCGTTGGAGGAAGCGAGAAATTCTCGGTTAGCCGTTTCACGAAACGCACCTCTGATGTGGCGATGATGTGTCATCTGACGTGGCGTTTTAAATTTTTGATCCGGTGCAACGCGGATCTACCTTTCACAATAAAACATTCTTTTGAAGCCCGTGGAGGCCACCCGCAGACGGGGAGTTCTTTCTTGGGACACAGTGACGCCGACCAGTGGACGCCAGTAAGTTCGCCGAGAACACCGGTTTTTTTTCTAACGAATCATGATATCTCTCCTTGTTTTTGCAGCTCAATAACCATCGGCAAGGTGCTTCGTCAGCAGTTCTTCGGCTTGCGAATTGTCCGCCGTTCTTCAACGGCAAGGTGATTGTTCTTCGTCCGCTGTTCTTCATCGGCAAGGTGCACTTCTAACTTCTAATTTCTATTCTTCGTCCACCATTCTTCGTCGGCAAGGTTCTGCTCTGTTTTTAGTTCGGTGTTTTGCCTGATTTTAGGCTGCTCTGCAACACTTAAAACTTTCCCTGATTTGATTGCTCTAGTGGCTCAAGAAATTAAAAGATGATAAATATCTCAAAAAGCAAGACAAAACTTGTTAGCAACTTAGTTGGAACTTGGCTGAGAGGTAAGACACCTCTACCAAAAATTAGAACAGAACCATATTTATCCAACACTCCAGATCCTGCTAGTACCTTACAAATTGTCGTTTATCGTCTTCACCTTTCTTCCTTCCATAAGGGTTGGTTTCACTGAACCCACTTCATATAATGCGAATTGTATGCTAATATATATGATTTATATGCATCCTTAGCAGACAGGTGCAGGAAATGGTTGTCTGTTACTAGATTCTCCTGCATCAATTTCCAGATCAACTGCAATCCCTCCACTTTATTGCTAACTACCAGAGAATTACCAAACATATAAGAAGTAGGAGAAAAGAATAAGATTTACATGAAGAGAAGAAAAGAATAAGAAACAGGGAAGGTTTGTTACTAGATTCTCCTCCACTTTAACTGACTGCAATGAATTAAGAAAAAAAAAAAAGAAGAAAAGAATAAGATCGTACTAAGATCTGTCCATCAAATTCATCGCCCCATCCCTAAAATAAAACAAGAAACAGGGAAGGTAGTTTTCTTGTTTATGAAAAATGCTAAACCTTAAGATAACTCAGAATTTGCAACTCCTCTGGTATCAGGAAGAGCAAGCCATGACCTTCTGAACCTTCTGAGTGAAATTTGACCGATTTACATGAAGAGAAAAACACCGTCTTTCTTTGGCAGGTGTCTCTTCAAGAAACAATATAGAACAATAAATCTCTTGGCACTTGGCATGACTGCACGACACAATAGCCTTCATGCAGTCCATCATTAGTGGCTTAACAGATTGTGAATTAACTCTTCTATTTACACAAACTGGTGATTGTGAGCCATCAATAATTCAAGTGATTCACATGTTTGTTTTGTGATTGAATGCTCCCCCTCCCCCGTAATGGTGCTATTTTGATCTTATTCTTTTAAAATTTTAAAATTGATAAATTATATAATATACATCAATAAAATATGAAAATCAAAGTGAATGTAATTTAGACCGTTGAATCTAAAAATTAGTCATTAAATAAAAACATATGTAATATGGACCATTGGATTAACTAATAGATTCTATATCAAAGTGAAAATGTCACACTGAAACACTCATATGCCTGTTTCTTGAAACATGTCACCAAACAACAAAATATGAAAAAAACATTTATTGTGCTGAATTGTAAAGGGGTGTTTCTTGAAACATTCAAAATAGGCTCAATCAAACAATAAAATAAAAAATGTTTATGTAATAAAGGCCCATCTAATAAACATAAACTCAACCAAACACATGCATTATCCCAAGCCAATGAAAATCGAGGCACAAAAATAAGAATCAAGCCCGACGTAATTGGTTTTCTTCGACATGGTTCTATAAGGTGGGCCCCAACATTGACAACTTTATAGAGAGGAAAGCAAATAGAGAATAAATAAATGAACTAAGGTGGTGTATGGTTGGCTGTTCAAAAAAGAGTTATTGTGTTCGCTATTTTTTATAGTTTTTCTTTTAAAAAAAAGGAAGACAATACAAGTTTGATTGGTTAAGAGTTTTTCTGGTATCATAATCGAACTTTAAAAATGAGTGTTTTTACTTATTCTAGAACCATGGTTTATTGGTTTTGATTTTTAAAACTACCAACAAAATGAAAATGTCCGGTTGCGTTTGTGAACCAGATGGAACACTAAACTTAAAATTTTCACATACCGTGGTCTGAATGTTTAGTAATAACTAATAAGTATCCATTGGATATAAAAATGGGCTATAAGAGAGTATAACAGCCCATCTAGAGGCATGTGGACTGAAGCCCTAAAAGCTAAGTGGGCCGGGCTAATTTCTTAAAAGGCCGACGCAAATTGGACCCATATGTTGTCTGTCTTCCTGCTTTCGTCCAATGCCGATAGCAGAACAAAGCGAGAACTGAGGTGGAGAGCAGAAAGCTAGAGAGAGAGAGATGGAGACGAAGACAAGTGAAGAGGCGGAAGGAGCAAGCGTAGAGTTCGAGCCGTCGGACATAGAGTACGTAAGCTACGGGGGTGAACATCACCTACCCCTTATCATGCGCCTTGTGGACCAGGAACTTAGTGAGCCCTACTCCATCTTCACTTACCGATACTTCGTCTACCTATGGCCTCATCTCTCTTTCCTGGTTCGTTCATTTACTTCATTCCCAGGGTTTTTCTCTCTCTAGAGTTTTTCTTTACTTTGGTTTTCAGCTTTTATTTAGTTATTTATGCTCCTTTTTCTGATATGAATTTGTTGATGGTTTTGATTATTTCGATTCGCCTTTTTTATTTCTTCTGTTTTAGATTTGGTATTTAACGAAACGTTAGATCCTTTTGGTTTGGTTTGAATATTTTCTTCCATTTCAGATTTGAACTTGATAAAACAACGTTCGCTGGTTCTTTTTATGGATTCTCTCTTCCTTCCTCTCGCTTATTTAATTGAAAGATTGCAACTTGGTTTTCTGATGGACCTGCAGGCATTCCATAAAGGTAATTGCGTTGGAACCGTTGTGTGCAAGATGGGAGAGCACCGGAACACTTTCAGAGGTTACATTGCGATGCTCGTCGTGATCAAACCTTACAGAGGGAAAGGGATCGGTAGGCTTTTATATCAACATATTTCCTATTTATTTATTTATTTCTTAATTTTATAGTTGCATATGTGAGCTTTCTTTTTTCTTTTTTCTTTTTTTTTCCACACTTGGGGTCAAATTTTTAGTATAAGTAAATAGAAAATTAAAAAAACAGCTCTTTGCCCTATAATGATACACAATTAAGTGTTACTTATCCAAAAACAAAGGAGATATATATTTGAGGCATACTTCCATCCACTTTCGTCATGATAGTTGATAGAAGTTGCCACTACCAGTCCACAGTGATTACCTAAAATGACCATTACCCAATGTTGATCTTATCTATTTGGGGTCTTGGGAGGGGTGGACTGCATACAAACCTAGTCTTTGGCATTTTTTTTTTCACAAAGTGGGTGCTGGCTCAAACCCACTTTCCCATGCTTGTCACTTGTCAGCCCAAGTTTTCACCATTATACCAATTACCGAGCAACACACAATGATTACCTCAAATAGCTAGTGGGTCTAGAAATGAGTACTTGCAACTATCCTGATTAGTTGGCAAGGTACCCTATGCTTGAATCAGATAGATAAATACAAACTAACTTCTAATTTTGTAAGGAAGAAACCCCTTGACCTAGAAGTACCTATAATAAAGCAATGAACAATCCATACTCACAAAGGGAAAAAAGGTTAGAAAAGCAAAAGAAGTTATGCAGGTGGTGTGCTTTGCAGCTGTTAAGAATAAAACTTCAAAATGATAAATGAATAATATGTGCAAATGAGCAATAAAGTCTTGTGTTACATAGGCATGGCAAGGACATTCTATGGACAACTTTGGGATATCAAAATTTACACTAGAAGGCGATGTTTCTAATATGGACAAGATACCCATTTTGAATTGTCCATGCAACACAAGTAAAATAACAAGAGAGGTCGTCTGGGTAAGAGTAGCGCAGATAAAACCACAATAGAGATCACTTAAAATAAAATAATAAATAAGTAGAAGAAAAATAGTGTAAACCTTGTATCTAACAACCAACTTGGCCCTGCTATATGTATGATAAAAAAAATGTATAACATATATAATAAAATAACAAACACATATATGCATATATAGTACATGTATAATATATACATATGTTGTAGATCAGGCTGGGCAAGAAACGTTCAGCCCTGGATCTTGTTCAAGTAAGCTTCCTAGCCTACTTGAACATGATTTCATCTCTAACTTGTTCCATCCGTCTAGTGGCCTGTGAACCTATGTCAATTGGAGTCTGTGCTACACCATGGAACACGCCTCCCTCTCTGTTGAGGGCCCGGGAATAGGATCTCGTCACGGGTCGGTCCACGGGGAAAACCTCCTGTTTTCCCTTGTTCCTTCCTGCTCGTGATGAACCTATCTTGGCACCTTCGGTGATTTGTCCAAGAGATCACCAACTCTCCTAACTCACT